AGTCATCACCCCCCACCGCCAACTCTTGGGCTACTCTTTTACCAACGAATAGTGGGATTGACCGTCACATTATAACGCCCCACGACTGAAAGGGCGAGCATGTTTGGTGGGACAGGGATTCGAACCCGAGACCCTCAGATTGCGTGTCGAGCGCCTTATCCACCTGGCCATGCCGGGCCCCTTAATATTGAACTGATAGACTAGAGAGAATATATTTAAGTCAGCAGTATCCACCATCAACTCTCGGGCTACTGTAGTCTGATCGAATAGTAGGATTGGACTGTCACTTTTATAGCTCACTCACGACATCAAAGTGCGGAGCGCGTTTTGTGGGATTAGTTCGCGAATAATTAATCTTCAAAGTCACACTCCGGGCACATTAAACACTGAGCCAATTCTGGTTTCATTTGAAAAGAGAACGTGTTACACGCGTAACAGGGGAAAACTTGGCATAATGAACGAATAAACTACTATCAACTGACGCAAAACTACCCGGTTTAAATACACTAGCTGCTAGCTTACGCTTTCTAACGTTTTCGAAGTAAAATGCATATCAATTTTTTGAAGGAGTGGACTAATGCTATTATTTCGAATAATCCACATAAAAAATATCTCGTTTCTAGTTAAAGAGATGATAACAACAAAAATGGTTCAATAATAAGTAAAAATCATATGAGCCAGAAAGAGAATGTATAGTGTATGTTATAAGAGAATGTATAGTGTATGTTATAAATGACATTGTGTCCATATGCCTGTAAGTAACGACATTTTTCCAACTTTCCGACTTCTGATCACACATCTTTATGATTTCAGTGTAAATTTTCCAATTACCTCCTACTGCCATTAAAAAATCGTCAATTACTTTACGGGACATGTAAAAACATTTAATAAAAACTATATATATTCAAAAATATGAAATACAGAATTGTATGCTAAATTTAATGGGAAATTGTATTCATTGATAGCTCTTCAAAAATTAGATTTGTTTCCAATGGATACAACTTCCCAATAAATTTAGCATGCATACCGTACTTTTACTACTTTATCATAGAGTCAGTAGACTCTATATGTAGGGATGGCCAAAGGTACTCAATATGCATAATACAAATATGCACACTAAAAAAGTCAACAATGACAGAGTTTTACTTTAAAAGATGATTGCCACTCACTTTTATTTGTTTCTCTAATCAACAAACCAAAATCAAGGCAAGAAGCCATTGCTAAGATACCAAACCAGAAAGTGACCAACCCATCACGTTGTTCCTCTTTTTTCTACTCGTTTCAGTCAAGATAACTCTTCAACTAATTTATCACTAATATCAGTCTAAACCTAAATCCACTCTATGTGTTTCTGGGCAGCAAACGATGTCATCGTTTAGTCATAATAACTGGTAGTAATTTAAAAAAACAAGAGAGAATCCTCAATAGCCGCGGCACTTGAAATTCTTTTAGGTAGGATTAGAGTAAATTAATCTATGAGACCTTTGTTTCCATTTTTATTATCTATATTTTTGTGCGCCAGCAATACCAAGCGTGGGGCGCGCGTATAACCGATTCGATTTTATCACTCATCAGGATCTCTACCAGCCTACCCTCAAATTGAAATTCTTTTAGGCAGGATTAGAATATATTAATCTATGCGACCTTGGGCGTGGTCAAATACATCAATCAAAAGGGTTTGACCTCCTGAGTCTGAAACTGTAATTAGATCTCAAATCGGTCAAGAGGTGACGGACTATGAGCTAAATGTTTGTACTTAAGAACAAAAACTCAGAGCTGCGGCGAAAAATAATAATTATAGTGTAAACGATGTTATCATTACCCCCTGAAGTTAGCTTTTTTTACAGCAATCTGGTGTTCCAGTAAATAGCTTAAGTACATGGTGTAATAGGAATTACCAGCCAATAATAGCTGAACATTAGATGACTATAACATTTAGAATGCTCAGTGCTTTGTACACGATACAATCGGTGTCTTTATGGAGCCAATCCCTATGTTATGTATGAAGTGTAGGAATAAAAAAAATAAATACACATAATACTAAAGTTTATTACACACATTCATAGAATACACTAGCTTTCAGTCAGGGAGAAACATCACAAAACAAGTAATAAAAAACTTTTTTTTAAATATAAAACGATGTAGGGATGACAGTGCCAAAAAGAATGCAAACAAGAATATAGGAATAATATAGCTATACATAGACCATCCCTACATGACTTTCAATGTTAGAATTTAATGTTACGCTGTAAAATGCATACTTGATCTAATATTGCTTCAGTTGAAAGTTATATAATCGTGACTGTTGGTATGCTCTTTGTTTATCATAATATCATGGTCATGTCGGGGTAGGCATCAATGTAGTGTAACTAATAGCCTAGGACTTACGTACAAGGAAAACCAAGTTGAGTCAAAACATATCTTGATTATTACAGACTCTTGCTACAAGGTAGGTCGAGTTGACCGACCTCGTAACCATTTTGTACTTGCGCATTTTAAAATGCGACATTAAATTTTAATATTGTAAGTCATGTAGGGTTGATCTATGTATAGCTATATCATCCCTATATTCTTGTTTGCATTATTTTTGGCAGTGCCATCCCTACATCATTTTACATTTACAAAATGTTTCTATTAGTTGTTTAAAAATAAGTATAATAGATTTTTAGCACAAAGCTAGACAATGGGCTATCTGTGATGTGTCCACCACGGGTATCCAAACCCGATCATTAGCTTTATAAGCCCTCAAACTTGTCGCTGGAACTAAATCACCCTAAAATGGTTTAAGGATACTATTCAAACTCGTTCAACAAATGAGAGGGTACAATAGGGAAACGTCATGTCGATACGAGTTTTTCAACTATCTAAGCCAACCAAACCCAGATATAGTGTATCTTTTCATGCTTATACCAGAACCAAATCTAATAGGAGTCAGATGTCGAAAAAATTAGTCTTACATCACAACAGTGTTGCTATATATTAAACTTCTCTACAGATAAAAGAACTATATATCAAAACCAAGGCTATTGGATGTTCGACTTCTGACACAGAAGCTACCATATACGTCATACTCCTTCACACAGAGAAGATGCTAGATGTCACAATTTACATATAGAAGTAATCCATATTCCAGAAGTAGTTTTCAACAAAACCGAAACTACTAGTTATGTCTACACATACACACAGTTAGCTTAATAAAGAATCGAGACAAAAAAATCAGAATCAAAGTCACCAAGAATCAGACTTCTACAGCAAGTAAACGTTATTAGGATAAAGGTTAATAAATATCTGACTTCTAAAACAAAACAAAAGTGTGGTGTACATCACTACCAAAGCAGTTTATATCAAAATCAAGCTACTTTATGTCAAATGTCCACACACAGAGGTAGTTTATATCAAAACCAAGTTACCTGATGTCAAAATGTTCAAATATACATACACAAGTAGTTTATATCAAAACCAAAGCTACTTGATGCCAGATGTACACAAGCACAGGTAGTTTATATCAAAAACAAGCAACATGACATCAGATGTCCACACATACACACACAGGTAGCTTGTATCAAATCCAAAACTACTTGATGTCAGATGTCCACACATACACAGGTAGTTTATATCAAAATCAAGCTACTTGGTGTCAAATGTCCACACACACACACACACACTAGTAGTTAATACCAAAACTAAAGCTACTTGATGTCAAATGTCCACACAAACAACACAGATAGTTTATATCAAAACCAAGCTACTTAATGTGAAATGTCCACACATACACAGGTAGTTTGTATCAAAATCAACTACTTGGTGTCAATGTCCACACACACACACACTAGTAGTTAATACCAAAACCAAAGCTATGTGATGTCAAATGTCCACACACACACACACTAGTAGTTAATACCAAAACCAAAGCTATGTGATGTCAGATGTCCACACACACACACACTACACACTAGTAGTTAATACCAAAACCAAAGCTATGTGATGTCAG